GAGAAAAGCACCCCACTGGAGAATCTCTCCTAAACTCCCAGTGCAAAGGATGCTATAAGCTAGAAAGTGCCACAGGACTCTGTTGCTTTTTGCACAGGCATTGAAACCGCTCTGCTCCACCGAGAAGTGAAACTGCCTTGACTCTCAGTAGCTGAGCTGACTGGCTGTAATCAGGACGGCTGGCCAGCTGCTTGAGACACATGGCACCCTTCTCACTGCCTGCCATTAGCTCGGCCTCGCCAAGGTCAAACTCAAGGTTGCTCCTTTTTGTCTGGCCAGACCACAGGCCTCCTGCTGAGTGTGCTGCAGTCCTGATGAGCAAGGGCTCAGTTCAGGATCACGCTCTACATGCTGACTGAGGCTGCGTTAAAAGTGAGAGAAAACAAGTCAAATCATGTGGGCAAGTCATGTCGCTACTCGGTGCCTCGGTTTCCCCATCTGTAAAATGGGGATAACGATACTATCTTTGTAAGAAGGGGTGGGCAAACTACGGCCCATGGGCCGGATTCGGCCCGCCAGCCATTTTAATCCAGCCCTCGAGCTCCCACTGGGGAGTGGGGTCTGGGGCTTGCCCTGCTCTGGCGCTCCAGTCGGAGAGCAGGGTTGGGGGCCACTCCACGCAGGTCCCAGAAGCAGTGGCATGGCCCCACTCCAGTTCTTCCATGTAGGGGCAGCCAGGGGGCTCTGTTCTGCATGCCACCCCCGCAGCTCCCATTGGCCAGGAACTGCGGACAGGCAACGTGCAGAGCCGCCTGGCTGCGCCTCCGCATAGAAGCCAGAGAAGGGACATGCCGCTGCTTCCTGGAGCCCCTTGAGGTAAGCGCTGCCCAGAACCTGCACCCTGACCTTCCTCTACATCTCAACCCCCTGCCCCAGCCCTGATCCCCCTCCCGCCCTCCAAACCCCTCGGTCCCAGCCCAGAGCACCCTCCTGCACCCCAAACTCCTCAGCCTGCACCCCAACCCCAATTTTGTGAGCATTCATGGTCCGCCCTACAATTTATATTCCCAGATGTGGCCCTTGGGCCAAAAAGTTTGCCCACCCCTGTTGTAAGAACTATGTAGGAGCCAGGACTCCTGGGTTCTATTCTTGATTTGCTGTGTAACCATAGTTAGGTTTCTTATCCTCTCCATGCTTCAGTTTACTTATAAAATGCAACCCCCTACCTGCTCCCCCCTCCCCCCCCCACAATCCTGTGAGGCTTTATTCGTGCTTGCAAACAGCTATGTAAGCGCAAGAGTACAGCATGCATCACGACTCACTCCCTCTAACATACCAAGCACCTTGGGGCTGATTTTTGGAAGTGTTTGAGACCCACTGATTTCAGTGGGAGTTGTGAGTGCTCCGCGTTCCCAAACCGTCAATCCCTTCCCCACACCTGATTCTGTTCTGCCTGGCCTCAGTCTTAGTGCAAGGTGGCTTCCCCTCTCTGAGGGCGGAGCTCAAACAGAAGTGGAGCAAACTGAATTCGCCCTTTGAAGTGAAGAGCCGGTACAGGAGGGATCTGCCAAGAGGCAAACCTGCTAAGAGCCCTTCAGTTTGGTTCCGCAACGTCATGCAGTTCCAAGAGGTTTACAGAAGTAAATCAATGATCTCTGATACTTCGGTGCCCAACGAGGCTTTGGAGAAATGAAGGCAGAGCGCGAGCTCGCTCAATCCTCGGAGGTTGCTTTTTGTTGTTAGTGGAACCCTCTCCACTGTGTGATCACCTGGAAGAGACTTTGCCAAAGCAGAGGGGCCTGCCCTGAGATAAAGAGGTGGGGGAAGGGAAGGGTGAGGGCAGGGGCGGCTCTATGTTTTTTGCCTCCCCAAGCATGGCAGTTAGGCGGCCTTCGGCGGCACGCCTGTGTGTGATCCGCCGGTCCTGCCCCTTTGGCTGCCTGCCGCCGAAGCCGCGGGACCGGCGGACCCCTCCCCCCCCGCAGGCGTGCCACCGAAGGCCGCCTAACTGCCGCCCTCACAGCAACTGGCAGGCCGCCCCCCGCGGCTTGCCGCCCCAGGCACGCGCTTGCTGCGCTGGTGCCTGGAGCCGCCCCTGGGTGAGGGGCTGGAAGGAGCAGGAGAGAGGGGGACTGGATGGCTCAGGGGTGAGGAAATGGGAAACCGGAGCCATTCACTGACTTGGCTCCAAGCAACAACAATCATCATTTGCTGGCTGGCTGAAACCTGTGGAGAAGGAAGTGGTGGGAACAGATCAGATAAGTAGTCAGCTCATAGGACCCATCACCCATGACTTCCTCTGTTGGCAGTCTCAGAAAGAAGCCAAGAACCACCATCACCTCCAGAGGTGGCCTCTCCAGACCAGGGTTAGGCTGCACGGGGGGCGGCATGTGGGGAATTCTGTACCTAACTGCTCACGGTGCAGAGAAGGAGGATTTCAACCCCCAGGCCGGCCACCCAGCCTTTTATTTATTTCAAATCGAACCTCTTGCACATGCCCCCACCAGGCTGCAAAAAATCTGCCTTGAAAGTGGGCATAAGACAGCAGAAGCCAATTACAAGCCCTCCAGCCGCGGACCAGGAGCTGAACAGCGCATGCCAGGAAGGGGGCAGGGCCAGGCCATCAATGAGACACGCTCATTCAATAGATCTCCCAGGAAGGATCCTGTAGGGCTTCAGCAGAACGTAAGGGAGGGCAGCTTTGGGTGGCACCCTGGGAGTGGGCATGGGCAGCACAGCTGCTGCCCTTCTGCAGTGGGGAGTTCGTCCCTTCCAGTGCCGCTGCAGATGGGGCAATTCAGTTTGCTCCTCCCTGTTTCCACAGGAGCACATCTGGCGCCTAGATATTGGCCCTGGGCAATCTCTAGGGCTCAGGCTGATTTAGGAGCCTAAACTGGCTCCAGACCAAGACGCACAATGGCAGTGATGCAAGAGGAGTTGGTGTACCCCTCCACAACACTCCATGCCCAGGCGGCCCTGATAACTGGAGGAAAGGAGGAGAATATGAAAACCAATTAACAGCTGGGCGAAAAACATCCAAAGCAACCTGGGCCGTGAGAGATAGCACGTTCCAACAGATGAACTGCGCCGTGCACACCGCAGCAGCTCCTGGCCTGTGCTGGACCCTAGCTACCACCATGAGGAGCACAGAGTAGCTAGCCTGGAGAGAGAGAACGTGCACAGAGCTGGATGGAAACGTCCCACTCCTTAACACGCGCCTTGGAGGCCTACGACCTGAGTTGCTGGTCTCAGCCCGATTCATAATGGACAGGCGGCATCTGCATCAGAAGCTACACACCTGTGGGCGTCCCCGCTGCCAGGCCAAGGGCTGGACGTGCTACAGAGGCTGAGCAGTACCTCCTAACTGAAGGGGAAGGATGGCCCAGTGGTTAGGACTTAGGAGACCTAGACTCAATTCCCTGTTCTCCTACAGACTTCCTGGGTAACCTTGGACATGTCACTTAGTCTCTGTTCCCCATCTGTAAAATGGGGATAACAGCACCTCACAGGGATAAAGACTGGGAGGTGCTCAGATGCCATGATAATGGGGGTCATGTAAGTACCTAAGATATTTAGACAGAACCTTAACAGTGGTCCCTTCTGTCACAGTCCAGGGAAAGTGCACCTGTGTTCCCCCTCCGTGGTCCAACCACAAGTTGAGGACTTCAATAGCTCAAACATAGGTCAGGGATTTGTTACAGGAGTGGGTGGGTGAGATTCTGTGGTCTGTGTTGTGCAGGAGGTCAGACTAGAAGATCATAACGGTCCCTTCTGACCTTAAAGTCTATGAGTCTATAAGGGCACCCACTCTTAGGTTCCCAGGTCCCAGCCCTCACCTCTCGGTCAGAGACCTGCATCTCGCTCCCTCCTGACCAGGCTGCACAGTTCCCTGTGTTCGCTGTGAGTTCCCCAGCAAGTCAGACTGCCTAAGCAGGCCTGCTTTGCTTTCTCCTCAGTGGCTATAAACAGCATACTTGCCCACAGCTATAAGTGACCACACTGCCCTTTGCAAGCAAGCACAGTTATTCTTCAGGTGAAAGCATTACAGAGAAAACACATTAAAACGATAAAAGAACTTACACGCCAGCTAATAAGCTTACCAGCGATCCGCCCTTCCCCCCAACGCCAGCATGGGCTCTGGCAGGTGAATAGTCCTTCAGCCTCCACCAGGCGAGTTTTCTGTGGTCACAAATTCATAACAGCTTTTGCTCAGAACACGAACACTGCCTGAAACCAGTGGGTATGTACTCGGCACGGCTCAGCTGTGCCTCCACTGCCTCTATCCATGCTGCCCACTGCGGTTACACTGTTATTCATACTCCTCCTTGCTTGATGAGAGCGTGAGCATGTGTATGCGAGCAGGGGAACCACACCCCTAGCTCGTAGTGTAGACTTAGCCGGTGAGTCCCTTCTTTATCTTTGATCTGCAGAGACCAGGAAGAGGTAATCTGCCCGACAGCAGCTCAAAAGCTTGGGTCTGGAGTTGGGCATCTGCATTCCCCTCCCTCCAGATATTTCCTAGGAAATCCGCTTGGTTCAACCTGACAGTGCCTCCTTGTCTGGCCCAATCTGTAAAGCAGTCCTTTGAAGCTCATAACACTTCCCAGCAGGGTTTACATTGGCTCCGTCCGCCCCCCTAGAGAAGTTATGCACAATCCCACAATAACACGTCCACTTTGCATTTGTAATACAATGGGCCCCAAAGCTATTTAAACTTAATTCAGTCAGCTCTCCCAAAATGTTGCCGGAAGTTGCCATGTCTGTCTACCTTTACTCACTCTGTGTATTGGCCGTGCTCCTCCCATTCTGTCCATACGCGGAGACTCTCTGGCCTCTCAACCTGGCAACTTTTATCAACACTAAACTCACTTGAAGAAATGTTTTTACTGTCATTTATAAAAGGTGCTGAGGCCCCATCTATGAGATGCTGTAATTAGCGATCATGGGTCTCTCTCTACAGCTGGAAATCTGGAACCGGCTGGTAAGAGATGGGGTTACTGTTTCTACATTCCACCCCAATCCAGTTCCTAACTTTTGCCTTTGCTTTGCTTCTCCGCCAGATGTATTTCTACTTCTCCGACAAGGTGGTACTTTTGTTTGACTTCTGGAATGTCCACACCCCTGCAGGTAAGAACAGAATCTGTGGATTATTCCCACCCCTGAGCGATAGAAATTAGACCCAAGTAATTTGTACTGTAAAACATAACCTGCCATAATCAGCTATGTAGTTCGTTCATGTTTACTCTAGCAGAGGCCATAATCTGTGCTGAGTAGGTGATAAGTAGAGGAGGGAATAAGGGCGGCTATTCAGTTTACTCACTGTTTTCGCTGTAGTGACAGGCACCAAATCATGGACTGGGAGAATAGGAACTTGCATGCACAGAAAAATTCCAACAGAGAATGTGTTCTCCACCATTCTATACAAACCCACTGCCTGCCCCCAGCCCCACGCCTGATCTCCGGAGGTCCCCTCCTGTCCCCCGGAATAGCCCTGATCTCTCCGTGTGGAATTCACCGAATGTCCCAAACTGTCGCTACTACATCACAAGCCACTGAAAGATGGTCCACGCTATTGCTCAGTAGGGATTGACGCACAGCACACATTTGATAGGCACAAATTACAACAGCTGGCCATCTCTGCTCCAGAGTGGGCCACGACTGGGACAGCGAGGGAGGAGACAAATGAGGATGTAGAGCAGTTATTGATCACATCCCTGCCTTATCCATTATACCATGTACACAAGCACTACATTTATGCATAAAACAATGCCAATAAAAGCTACAAAGAAACCTAGCAGAAGACTAAGAGAGTGTTTAAACTCAGCCTCTAAGTCTCCCATAGCAGGGGAAGAGTATTGGTTTGGTCACAGATTGGGATGGGACTTGGGGGAAGATGCCCAGAGAATATACAGTGATTTGCACAGTCTCATGAGGACTGATCAGTGAATCACGCACCGGCCTGCTGCCACTCCAGCAATGCTAAGGTGCGGGGAGGGGGTGCCATTATGAAATGGAAAGTGGGCAGTTCTGCCAGAGGGCTCAAGAAGAACTTTGTACCCCGTGTCCTTCACTCGGAAGAGGTTCTGGCCCCATCTGGGATGAGCAGAGCAGAAGAGATGGGGAGACCCGTTGGGGTGGGTAGAGGCAGATGTCACTAGAAGCACCACTGCCCTTTCCTACTGGATTGGAGCTTTGCAGCCTGATGGGATGGGGATGAAGAGCGGAATAAGGAGGGGGGGAAGGCAGATGCTGAGGATCAGCTACTGTATTTGATCAGGAAACTTCCTTAGAAGAAGGGACTCCCTCTAAAACGTAATGTTCAGAGTCCCATGAAACACTCGCTGCTTCGTGGCAAGTTAAATGGTCCTTCCGTTGCAGGGATGGTCCTGACTCTCTTGCTGGTCAATCTGAATGGTGTTTGCCTTGCAGGGATGGTGCTCTCGGTGCTGGTGGTTCTGCTGCTAGCGGCATTGTACGAAGTCATCAAGATGAGCAAAACCAAACTCCTTCGCCAGACGATACTGGCCATCCCCGCCACCCTCAGTCAGGAGTCACTCGGGGAGCCGGAGACAGGGTCTGTCAACTCCAACCTGAGTCAGCAAAACACCACCTCAAAAAGGTAACCCAGTCCCAATCTGAGGCTTTCGCTATCGCCTGCTACACAGAGGAGGCCCCAGGGCTTTAAGCACCGTTTGCTTAAACGTTTGTGGTCCCATCATAGGGTTGCCAAGCTTCCAGGATTGTCCTGGAGTCTCCAGGAATTCAAGATTACTCTTTCATTAAAGAGTATGTCATGTGACGAAACCTCTGGGAATACGTCCAACCAAAATTGGCCACGCTAGACCCAGGGTCTGTCCAGACCAGCGGCCTGTCTCTGACAGTGGCCAGTGCCGGCTGCTTCAGAGGAAGGTGTAAGAGACCCTGCAGTAGCTTCCAGGGAACCTTCCTTCTCATGCTCAAGTGCTCACATCTGAAGAGCGCAGGGGGTATAGGTGCCGACTTCCCCTCTTTCCCGTGGGTGCTGGACTCTCCTTCTGCCCCCGGCCCCGCCTCTTCCCACCCCTTCCCCACCCTCATTCCAACCCCTTCCCCAAATTCCTGCCCTGGCCCGCCTCTTCCCCGCCTCCTCCCCTAAGCACACTGCGTTCCCGTTCCTCCCCCGCTCCTGGAGCCTGCTAATGCTGCCAAACAGCTGTTTGGCGGCAGCCGGGTGGGAAGCACTGAGAGGTAGGCGGAGGAGGAGGAGGTGGAGCGGGGGGGGGGGGTTGGGGAGCTTGGCTGCCAGTGGGTGCAGAGCACCCATTAAATTTTTCCCTGTGGGTGCTCCAGCCCCGGAGCACCCCTGGAGTCGGCGCCTATGGCTGGGGATGCGAGGTGAAGATGAACAGTGCAATACACAGTGAGAGGAGGGTGCCCACCAGATAGGCCGGGTCAGGGGAGGCCGCAAAGCTGAGGAAGGAGAGGTTCCAGACACTGCCAATTCAACACTCTGCAGGTGTTCAGAGCCCTCTACAGGCAATCCTCACCCGACTGACTGCTTCCCCCATTCCCCCCACCGCCTGGGGGCAGCCTGGCCCCTCAGACAGGGAGCAGCTAGAGTGCTCCAGCAGGATTTGCAGCTCCCACCCCATCTCTGGCGTCTCTGCGCCTTGCTCCCTAAGGCCAGGAAGGGGGTGAAGTAGCTGGCACTGCTCCTCCTCCTTCCCCAGAGCACTGCTCCTGGTCAGTGAGATGCAGGTCAGGGGAGATGAGGATCCCAGGATTCCCAAACCCCTCTCAGTAAGTGGCCTCTGCCCAACTGTCCTCCTCCACTAAGTGCTCCTGCCCTCATGTTTGCCCCATACTGCCTCAGCTCCTTCTCCCCCACGGGCTGCTGCCCCCTCCCTCCTACACCTAACTCAGGTCTCAGCTCCCCCCATGCCACAGGTGTTTCCTTGCTTTGCCCATTGGCTTCAAGGGGTGCCCAGCTGCTCCCTCATCTTCAAAGTCAAGAGGGACCACTGCCCTGTCCCACTGGGAGTGGCGGGGTGGCCGGGCAGCGACACCGGGAAAGGGCTGAGTGACAGGGACTGTCGATCACCAGCACACCCGACCCAGGGAGCCGGCACTGCCCCAGCCAGCAGGGCTGCAGCCGGAGGAGTTCAGTCTTCGCGCTGTTTGGAATTGTTCCAGAGGAACAGTTTTCCATTGGAAAATGCTGATTCAACGGAAAATTATCGAACCGTTTCTTTTCATCTTGGCTGCATTGGCGTGTTTAAATTATAAAACCGGAATATAAACACGTCGAGCCGATCGAGTGAGAACAAACGGTCATTTTGATTTTTCCTCAATGAAGTTTTGGAATCCCCAGGAAATTTTGCATTTTTGTTCCAATTCGGAACAATTTTCCCCCCAAACCTTTGGAATTTGCCATGGGACAGGAATTCTGAGTTCTGACCAGCTCTGAATTTTTATACAAGTTGTTTGCAGATTTGTTAACTGGAACGTACTGGTTTTTCTGGGTTCAAATGGTGGCAGGTGCTGCAGGCTTTCTGTACCCCGTAAAGCATCACAACTATAGCTGTTAAAACGGAACCAATTAATCTCACTCGATCTCGTCTTCCCTCAGGCACCGCCTGTATCGTGAGCTAAACCATCCCAATTACGCTGGTATTTTCTGGCCAACCACATTTCTCTAGCAGGGCTCCTTTGGCAAACAGCCTGAGGAAATATGCTGAACGGCTTCTCTCCCTGTCTTTTCAGGAGCCCTCGTCAGTGGTTCCCATGTGATCGGGGGTAACTAGCATGAAAGGCTTAATCTCAGATGGAGTCTCATTCACGGGTGCAGGATTGACCCCCCTGAGGCCAGGAACAAATCACTGGACATTATGGGAATGCTAAGGGCTTTCCCCCCTCAGCGTCTCCACAGGGAATGGGCATCTGTTATGGGCACACAGGCCTATCCCACGTGATCACTTTCTGCTTTGGCAGTGGTGAGATAATGGAACTTGTGCCTTTGACACAGAAAACCCATTCAAGGAAGAAAGAGATCGCCCCAAAAATACACGTACTGACTACTGTTCTGACCCTCCTTCATTAGAAGGCCATGTCCGTTAAGCATCCAATTTCTATGCTCAGTTAAGGCCGGGTTCACTATTTTCCTGCAGCTGGAAAGAGCTTTTCATGGACCCCGGGGCACTGTACTTAAAACATGAAGTGCAACTAATTAAAAAGAGCCTCTTTGGCTCACACTGGGATGAGGTGGTAACCATAGCAGGTGACAAGGGAGAGAATTCCACCAAGTTAGAACCCTGGGGGCTAAAAGCTCAGTGTGCCTAAGTGATCCAGGCATGGAAAGAGTTAAAAAATCAAAGGCAAGTTTTAGCCCATATGTGCAGAAACCAAAATGCAGAAGAGGCAACGCTTAGTTCAGAGCGTAATGCCGCCCAATGATTTAGCAAAGGAACAGGAAGCCAACCAGGCGCGAAATGCGGGTAACAAACAATGCAAGGGGAAGTCATGTGACTTTGAAGAGCTTGCCGCCCTGCCTTGCATGTCCTGTTTCATATGGCGCAAAGTTTCATATACGAACCAGCAGGAGAGGAGGAAGCAAGCTAGTGTAGATGATGGGGGCCGGGAGGGGCTGCAGAGCGATGTCATTTTGGTGCTGTAGCCCACACAGCTTCGGCAGCGTGCGGAGATCACTGCCTAGCATGCTGCTGAAGATTGTCCCATTGTTTCCTTGTGCTTCCCCGTCTGTCTGGATCCACCTGTCGCCGCTTGTCTTACACCGTAAGCTGTTTGGGGTCTGTGTTTGTACAGCCCCTAGCACAATGGGATCCTGATCCAGGAGTGGGGCTCCCCTAGGAGCTACCACGATACAGCTCATTACTAGACAATCAGAACGTCTCGGCGGCTCAGCCCAGCGATGACGGGCTGTGTAGACGTACCCGAGCCAGCGGGAATCATGCAGGTACAGGAGGGAGCCGGGACGCTGCAGGAGCAGGCACTTCAGTGTGGCGCGTACGCGCCTGCCTGGACCCCTGCGTGATCACGCCGGGGCTAGGCCATGCTGCTGCAGCTGCACTAGGTGGGTAGCTTGGGGGCTGGCAGATTACACGAACGGCAGTCAGCACGGACAGACCCTTAGGCAGCACAGTGCCCTCAGCGCACTCTGCAAACACCAATTAACCCCACAATGCACTACCAGGGCTCCTGGCCATAAGCTCTCACACCTCTTTGGCCCGTACCCCCCTCCTGGAGCACGTCAGACACACTTGGAAGTCTGGGGGGATGTTGCTAACTAGCAAGACTTGTTCGCGCCATAGTTAACTCTGCTTTTCTTTTCTGGAAAGGTGGTTTCTTTCCCACATCAGCCAGAGCCTGCTCCACGTGGCCCAGGTGGTGATCGGTTACCTGGTGATGCTGGTGGTGATGTCCTACAACACTTGGATCTTCCTGGGGGTGATCGTGGGTTCCGCCCTGGGTTTCTACCTGGCTTACCCGGTGTTCAACGCGAGATAGCGGTGGCCTGCTGCACTCCAGGGCAACATCTGCAGTGGGAGGACGACTAAGGAGGCTCTACTAGAGAAAATGATTGTGCAAGACTTGGCCTGGAGCTGGCAGGAGATAATCCCCACGCAATGGGGGACGCCCCCCATTCTCCCACCCTGGGGGGGATTGAGTTTCTTCCTTTTCAACCTAGCGTGGTCTCCCCTTCTATACAATTATCCATTTTCAAGATCGCTTTTGGACCCTTTCTGCTGGGCAGGCCCTCATCGTCCTGGCCAAGCAGGGCACGGCCCCACAAGGAGCTAAACTGGGCCACGGGCTGCTGCCGTCTCCAATGACTTTGAACCCACCCTCAGTTCTCACTCAGGAACCCCAGGAGCCTTTCCCTGCTGACTGGAGGAGCAAGGGGGCTTGGGCCGTGGGCACTGCCACCCTCGCCTGGGGACTGACAGAGCGGGCGGACGTGTTACAGGCTACGTCCATCAGCGGGTGCTGGAGGGATGGGAATGCCAGGGGATAGATTGGGGTTATTTTACTCTCCCTCACAGGTTGTTCATGTTCCTGACTGGCCCCCCTAACGGCTCTGTTCCCCTCTCCCTGCTGCTTGTGGGCAGGAGGAAATGTGCTCGTGCTGGTCTCTGACCCTAAGGGGACGCTCCCCTCACACTGTGCCTTCTGTGTTCCCAACAGAGCAAAGCCGCACGGCAGCGCCCTCTGGCTAGCGCAGGGGGTGGGCAGAGCTTGACCACCCTCCTGCTGCTGGAGCATAAGGGAGTCAGTCAGTTGGTTTAACCGTCTTGCGCGTGCCATGGCTCGGTTGCTTTGGAAACCAGGATGCACCAGGGGCTGGTGTGTCTCACAGGATCCTGTTGTAGTTCATGCCAAAAGAAGGACCAGTTTTAATAAAGCTAATTGCGCACGTGTGTGTGTGGGTTTGTGTGTGCGCGCGCGCACCTGATCATGGGAGAAGCCGCTGGCCTCTCATAAGGCTGAAAGATAACGTGTAAATAGGTGGTGCTGATCAAAAATCAGGCTCCCCAAGGGCCAGCCATTCCCCCGTGGCAAGGGACTGCTCAGACAGCTGCAAGGGATGCAGTCAAGAGCAAACAAAGATTTCAACATTTTTAGTATAAATTCACTAAATTTCTAAAAGAAAAGTCATTTTGAAAACGTTGAAAGGGATTTCTTGACAACTGCTCAGCTCTCTGCACATCAGGCACAAGCCCTCTCGGGCCTGCACAGCCCAGAGTTGTACATGGACAAAAAAATAAATTATTCTATTGAAGGTTTAACAGTTAGAAACTTGAGTCCTTAATTCACCAGCTTCGTCTTCCCAGTGTGGGGACTATATGCTGATGGGGAGACTTTATGAACAAGAAAACAATACCACCTAGCCCTTAGATACCACTTTTTTCTCAATAGATCTTAAAGTGCTGTACCAAGGAGGTCAGTATCACTGTTTCCCATTCTACAGATAAAGAAACCGAGGCACAGAGCAGGGACGGTCGACCAGCAGGCTGGTAGCTGAGTCAGGATTAGAACCCAAGTCTCTCGAATCCCAGTGAAGTTTGCTAAGTGATATCCCAGCTGAACACATACCATGTTAAGAAGCCATTCACTGACCTTAGCCAGCCAGATAGCACTGCCAGGGAGGTCACCCTGGCCAGTTACCCTCGTTACAATTAAGTCCTAGGTTCCCACCATCACATGGAATGTCCCAGAGCTCACCATTTTCACTAACCGTGAAGGAGAGATGGTCTACTTAAGCCACGGGACAGGGACTCAGGAGATGTGGATTCAGTTCCTGGTTCCACCATTGTTTTTTTGTATACCCCTGGTCTTTCTGTGCTTCACTTCCCTATCTGTAAAGTGGGAACACTGCCACCCCCTTTCTCCCACCCTTTTCTCTTATGTATTTACATTGTATGCTCTTTGGGGCAGAGAGGAGAGAGAGTGTGAGTGAGTGTGTGTGTGTGTGTGTACAAGCACCTAACACAGCAGGGCCCGAAACTACAACTGGATTACAAATCCATTTAGAGCTAGGCCCTAACCTAGGACCCCAGAGCCCAAGTTCTCTGCCACGCACACCCACCTAAGCCCCAGTCTACTTTTGCGCCCATGTATATGCACTTACCAACTACATAGCGGGCCCCAGACTGGACATCAAATCAAAGCCCTCCTTCTGAATTTAGAGGAACTCCGCCGCTGGCCCCAAACATTCTGGCTCCGCCCCACCCCACCCCCAACCCTCCATGTGGAACATCTCCCTTTCGTTGGTGTGTCTGGAGTGATGTCACCGCTCAGTCAGGAATGAGAGCGTGTCGCTAGCTTTAAATAAAGCTGGGTTTTATTTATTCTTAGAAGCATATTTTAAACATTTGTATAACATTCTCCATAAAATATCTTGGAAGAGACAGGTTTTGATTCCCAAGGCAAGGCACTTTGGGAGGCCCCAAGTGGTTTAGACTGGGCACCACCCATTTAAAAATAGAAAAAATGGCATCTAAAATACACATGGAAGTTGGAATGTATCTGTAGCAGAGGAAAGGATTCGAAGGCCGGGCTCCTGGTCCATATTCTGCATTGAAGGTCTAAGCAGCTCATTCACGAGACTTTACACACCAGGTGTTTCAGCTGTATCTCATGTTTTAAACATTACATTACCTGCATGCAGCTCATGTGTCTGCTGAGTCGATTCCCCAGCTAGCTACATGTCCCCAGTTCCCCTTAGCGTTAATGGAAGTCTGAGACACAGGTCACCCACGAGAGGCATGGATGTCCCATTGCGTATTGGGTTATATACCACCCCTAGTGTTCAGCTGAGCTCCTGGCTGGAGATCTGACTCAATGCAATTGTACTTGGATTGTACCCAAGATGCCGGAGAGAGATCTGGAGAAACCCACTTCAGCAGCCTCTGCCATCCCCTGCGTTTGGCCAGGGAACGTTTCTGCTCTCCCCACACCGCGACCTCCTGAAAAGGGCACCACGGAGAGCAGACATCTGGCGAGTTGGGTTGTGCCCCCACAGAGGAGTCATTTGACCATCTCCACTGAAAGACCCTGGCTAACTCGGTCGGAGCGTTTCTGGGAGCTTGGCCAGAACACGGCTGGAGCTGGATTCCAGTGCACGCTTCCACCGGTCCTGCCTTTGACAGAAAAACTACAGGGCTCCCCTCTCCTTCACTCCTGGTGCAAGGACAATAGGACCCATGTAACAGTCTACGCTTTTGCTTTAAGGTGACCTCATCCCTTAAGTTTAACTTGTTTGCACAGACCCCAAAGCCCAGTGGGGTCAGACAGAGCCAGTGAACCTCCTTTCTCTCCTCTCCTCCTACCATGACAGGTGTTTCCAGGAGAACTTAACTCTTGCAATGCAACAAGAGCTAAGCCCACCACGAGGCACAGGCTTCACACTGGGCACCATTAAGAGACCCCGTTGTCATGTGACCCCAGCGAAGTCAAATACCTCCAGGGGGTCAGGGTGGATTTAGTTGGCGTCCTGGGGTAGCACAGACTCAGAAAGGAACAGGGGAGATTTATTCCCAGCATGTTGTGTGTGCTGGGAAGAGGATGTAAGTTCAGCAGAGCTTTTCCAGAAGAGTTGGATGTGGGGGGAGGGGAAGAGCTATAACTAGGGACCCAGTGGGAAAATGAAAGCGAGACCCCCCCAGCCTCCCCCCATATTTAGAGGTTTTCCTGACTGGCTGGGGGGGGGAGGGGAAGAGGGAGGCATGCAGACAAGTTGCATCCTTTCTCTCCCCAGGAGCAGCTGTCTCTCTCCTACCTAAGCCATACCTCCCACCCTCATGGGACAGGAAAAGTATCCTAGGCCAGTCCACCCTCAGTGCAATGAAAGTCACCACTGGGTTGATGCTTGCCAAGAGCTGGGCATGGTTGTATCAAGACCCCTTTCCCCATTAAGGCACTTGTTTCTCTCACTACTGTTAGCCCAGCTCACCCCAAGCCACCTCCTACCCAAGAGCTACTCAGCACTCCCCAAAAGCAAACCCAACGAAAATAAGAGCCCTAAACACACCGTCACATGCAGGAGGGAATCGCCGATTAGCAACCAGCCAGAGTCCTACAATGTCCCTGCCAGCCTGCGGCCCCCTCTCCTCTCCGGTGCAATGGGAGCTTCCACTGTGCAGTTCTGTCAAGACTTGCCCTTGTAGATCTCGCCCTCTGAAACATGCACCTAGATTTCTGGCCTTCTCTGGGACCTTTAATTCTCTCCCTGCAAAGCCAACCTCCTCTCCATTCCCTTCCGAAAACACTATTTCACCTACCCTGGCCTTCCAAGGAGGTTTCCGCTCTCTCCCCTTACCCCCTCCATGTTTTAAGGAAAGGTAAGGAGACCGTCCATCAACAACATTCATGTGGCTATTAGCATTTGTAAACAAACCAGCTAAGCTTGTCGGGGACCATCTTCGGTAGGTTCAAGGCTGCAGGGGGCTTGCAAGGAAAGGGATGAGTGGTGGGGCCACCACTCACTGGGGCTTTGGAGAAACCACATACCAGAAGCGAGGGGAGGAAAGAAAAATAAGTGGCTGGTTCTAAAGCTTCAGAGATGTATCGCAATAGCCGTTTTTAACTGAACAAGGGAATCAAGCATCCACTAAAAGCTCCCAGGAGCAGAATGGCACTGGATAGTGTCGGTCATTTACAGCTCAATCTACGCACGACCAACCATCCTCGTCGTCTCTTTCCACGGCCACCAGTTCTCTCCCGCAAGCCCAGGGGTGAACTCTCAAGTTTACGTCACAGTCCTAACCTGTGTGTATAACGGGAGGAGGGACGTGGAGGAGATGGTGATAGCGGAGAGGTATTTGTGGCTCTTTCCATCCCTCAACTGACCCTACAAGCAGACAATCTTTGGAGCCATCAGCGGAACCCACAGTCAGACCAGCACACGCGAGGAAGGCCAGGAGCAACAGGGTTCAGATGCTGCCCTGTATTACCCACACCCTCTAGTTCTATTGATTCTTCAGCGATGCACTAATGCGGCCGGAAACTATGCAACAGCCCCATCCTCCGCCGTTGACTCTCCTTCTTTAGGGGCCAATCAGAAAAGACGGATTCCAGTTCGTTTGTGACTCATTTAACCCTCCCTCTCCCAGAGCGTGCGGCAAGACACGTTAAAGTCATGGCGCTGGCTTGAACAGTACTTAGTAGCGAACAAGGGGCATCCCATTGGCCATTTGGCTCGGGGAAGAGGTGCATCTTTCCAGGGCGGGCGGTGGTCAGCATTTGCAAGGACAGAGGGGGGGAGTGCACATTCTATCTCAGCCGGGCTCCTGGATGTGGGCTCGTTCGGAGGAGAAATGCTGGATACCGGTAGGTGGCCTCTGACTGCAGCCGCCGTGCTTGACAAAGCAGCGTGGCGTGCAGCATTGACCTCTTTGGTTGGAATGAGAAGTATCAGACAAAGGGAAGGGCTGGATTGGTGGAAGGGGAATCCCTACAAAACCCATCCCCCAGGGCACCAGGCGCCCGCTGGCATACGCTGTGCAGATGTCCTGGGGAGCTCCTGCCTAGGGGAATCCCCAGGCAGTCCCACAGTCACACTCTTGTTAGTTGAGTAATGCAGTAAAGTGTCTCTTCAACAAAGGGAAAACAACAAAGTAAGATGGAGCAAGGTGTGCGTATCCTATACCGAGCTAGAGTCCTGGGAGGAGGGGCAATGGCTTGGCCAGTGTGGCGGCTTGGTTCTGGCCAGCACACGGCTCCCCTCTAAGTGGGTGTGCAGTTTAGGAGATCTTACATCTTGGTGGCTCCCCCCACCCCCTTCCCTGGGACGCTGGTGTCCGAAGCCGAGTCTGCTTCAGAAACTGGGAATGTAACAGATACCAGTGCCAGCGACAGGCCCAGCCTACGAGCCCCATCCGCCCCCCTGGCATCACTGACTCCAGTCCACCTTCGGCACATAGTGTTCACAGCCGGCAGGGATCTCGACCGGGGGGGCTGACCTAGAACTGAGTCTGCACCCCCTCGCTGTTCTCAGTGGTCCCCGCGCTGTTCTCGGTGGCCCCCGCGCTGTTCTCGGTGGCCCCCGCGCTGTTCTCGGTGGCCGGCTGGGCAGGCTCCACCTTCTCCGCATGGGCCTGGGTGGACACCTCTTCCCCCGTCTCCTTGTCGTTGGGTTCGTGGCGGTTCACTTCAACTCCCCCCTCAGCAAGCAACGAGGCAGCTGTCAGGGCAGGCGGCTCGGCTGGAGAGGCGGGCATGGCTGGCTTGGCTTCCTGCTCCTCCACCCCCGGGTTCACTGGGCCCAGGGAGCCAGCGTCATGCTGGA